TCAGCGTACAATTCCACACAAATTTCGTTTATGAGCAGGGTCCAGTTTGATAGTCTTAAATGCCGTTATTGGCAGAGAAATCATTGCTACAGACACCAATTCGATTCTGGACTCCTGCATCTGGGAGTAAATGGAGATATCCAAAAACATGTTCTGTGGACCATCCCCAATTTTTGGGCACAATTCGCGTAACAGTGCAGCTAGACTGCAAAGTCTCGTGGGCAAACATCGCAAAGGTTCAACATCTGTGATGCGCCATTTGAAACCTCATTTCATCCACCCGCTCTTCTTGGGCAAGGTGGGCAATGTGAAGCGCGTCCTCAACCACAACTCGCTTCCGTTCTCCCTTCTTTGAGCTCTCACACCATATCTTCAACGTAGCACTTCGAGAACACTGTATCACGCGTAAGTTGAGCCAGCACACAGAGAATTCGAGTTGCGAATTTTACGTGTGTCACCAGTCATCTGGAAATTCCGCCTCTTACCCCGCGCGCCGACCCGCCCGGGCCGCGCCGCGCCGGGGGGGGGGGGGGGATTTTGATCTCTTATGATTTTGTTTATGGTTTTTTAAGATGTTATCCTTCGCTGGACCCTACCAACCATAATACGGGCTAATAGGTAGCTAGGTGTTTTTTTTGCTAGCTCAAAACAAACAAGCAGAATGCATCTAGCTGCTTTTACTTTTCCCACGAATTTCTCTAGATTTCATGGACATGAAGTGATGATGATACGCTAATATATTAATCAGGTTCTTTCTCTATGCGTCTTTATATACGAAGCCCATCTTTTGGTGTGTTTGCCTGTTTGTCTGCTTGTATCAGTAGGCTCCCAGGCTATGTAGGCCCGAGAAAACAGTTGGGGCATGGTCCCGGGTGTTTGAGAAGTTGCTCATAGGGTGCGTACGGATGCCTAAAGTGGATACAGTAGTGGGCGTGGCCCAACCTTATGAGCGGGGCTGGGTGGAGCCTATTCCAGAATCTTTGTAGAAACGCTAAACACATTCATTTCAGAAGGGCCACCTGCGCTTTCATTTAATGCATGCATAGCTTCGGTAGAAGTGGGTACGGTAAAAGGCGAAACAAGACCAGATAGGAGGAATCGACTCCAAAGTTTTTGTTGAAAAATAGGGTTTTGCTTAGAAGGCTCAAATAAGATTGGGAATCACAAAATTGATTGAGTGCTGCAGTGAAGGTGAATACTACAGGCCACATGCTATCAATCGACACTGCGTTCAATAATGATACAGCCACCTAAAATTTGTTCGAAAACTCAAAGTTCATAGAGTTTCTGAAAAACTGTCCAGATAGAAAATGTGACAAATTTCATGGCGAGTTCAGATATCAACACAAAAATCCATGTCGAAAACACTAAAAAATTTTGTGCTTATTTTTTCAGAAGAGGTCGATTTTCCTATGTTCAAAAATGATACAGCCACCCCGTGTTTCTTCGTTGAAATTCATTTTTGCTTCATGAAACTGATTCGCAGTTATCAGGCTTTCACCTTAATGTTCCCACAAGATAAAAAAGACAGTTTGGTTTTGAAAAAAGGTAAACTGTAGCAAAAAAAGGACCAGGAATCGTCGCGCAAAAATTGAGTCAAAGCTCCAATACGGTTAACAATCTTTTCTGGAATCCTGTAGGTTATGGAACAACGAAGAGCTCTGGATGTTCATCATTGCTTTTTGGTCAAGTTAAACTTCGCATTTTGGGGAAACATTTCAATTTCATCGAACAGTGCCCGGAATTCCAGTCTTCTTTCAAATTAAACTTTCAATGGATATTGTTTGGGATGTGTTGAAGATTTCCGAGGTCATTCTTCAATGGAGAATTAAAGAAACCTTGTTTGTGAAAAGAAATTCTCTCGAAAACTGAGACATTTTTTGCTCGAAAGTGTAGCCACGTCCACTGGAGCAAGATCAGTTCTTTTGTCTGTTGTGTCTTACTTTCTGTTTACTTTCTTTCGAGTTTTTCCTTCCTCTTTGAGGGCTTGACGATTCCTGGTCCTTTTTTGCTACAGTTTACCTTTTTTCAAAACCAAACTGTCTTTTTATCTTGTGGGAACATTAAGGTGAAAGCCTGATAACTGCGAATCAGTTTCATGAAGCAAAAATGAATTTCAACGAAGAAACACGGGGTGGCTGTATCATTTTTGAACATAGGAAAATCGACCTCTTCTGAAAAAATAAGCACAAAATTTTTTAGTGTTTTCGACATGGATTTTTGTGTTGATATCTGAACTCGCCATGAAATTTGTCACATTTTCTATCTGGACAGTTTTTCAGAAACTCTATGAACTTTAAGTTTTCGAACAAATTTTAGGTGGCTGTATCATTATTGAACGCAGTGTATATCGATTGAAAATATCGGTTTCTGCGCAGTGGGCCCGGAACGGGTGGTGGTCCACAGTGAATATTCAGTGTCGTAGATGTCGAAACCATGAAACCACGAGCACTTTATATCACCTGTATCACCTGTCGTCCCGTTGATCATCGATTTGCTCGAGCGGGCGCCAGCAACGTCTCCATTCGTCCCTGTCGCGTGCAAGAGTTGTCCAGTGGATCCTCCTCGCTCGAGGGACACGAAGTCCTTCATTCCTTTCGTTCAGAGCTTTCGTGAAGAAGTCTGACCATCGGGCCGGCGGTCGTCCAGGTGTTCGTTTGACGTCCCGAGGGATCCAGTCGGTAACCGCTGGTCCAACGGTCATCGCAAAATCGCATGACGTGTCCGGCCCACCTTATCTTCGATTCCTTGGCGAAAACGGCAGCGTCCCTGATCTTCGATCGTTGGCGTAGTTCGGAACTCCGGATTCCCCTCTGCACTTGCGTGTATAGGGTTACTCCTAGCATCGTCCTCTCGACAGCGCGTTGGATAACGCATGCTCGTCCTGCCTGCGCAGAGTCCAAGTCTCTGAGGCGTAGGTTAAGGCATATGTATGTATATATACACACATACACCATTTTGGCAGCGCGCAAGCATTCGAGGGACTGCAGTGGTTTAACACAAGGCAATCGATACTTCCGTAACGCTTCCTGGCAAGCTTCCCGCACAGCGCGGAGCGCTCCACCTGCCAATACCACATGGCCCCCTCCTTCCGCTGTAAAACTCTTTCACTTTCTTTCCGGCTTCCAGGAAATCCTGAAACTGAGTTATAATGTTTCGTGGGTGGCTCCGCTTACAACGGTACACGTCTCGCCCACTTATAACAGTTGAACACTTTCCTTCGCCAATCTCTAAGCTCCTTTTCATGTCTCCGGGAATTCTTGGAGCCGAGTTTTCGCCTTTTACCGTACCCACTTCTACCTAAGCTATGCATGCATTAAATGAAAGCGCAGGTGGCCCTTCTGAAATGAATGTGTTTAGCGTTTCTACAATGATTCTGGAATAGACTCCACCCAACCCCGCTCATAAGGTTGGGCCACGCCACTCGCCCACTACCGTATCCACTTTTAGGCAGCGTATGCACCCTATGGGCAATTTCCTAAACATCCGGGACCATCCCACCTGTTTTCATGCGGGTTTTACCATAGCCTGGGAGCCTACTGATACAAGCAGACAAACAGGCAAACACACCAAAATGCTGCTTCGTATATAGAGAAGATAGAGAAAGAGAAACGGACAAAGCCTGATAAATATGGTTTCTGAATTTGCGAATTTGTTTGTGTTCTTTTCCAGTATAGTAGGCGGAAGCTAAAGGCTCGCTCCATGTGCTAGAGGGTTTAAAGACACGAGCGGAGCGTTCATTCAAGAAGAAGCGAGAATATGCGTTGTAAAAACTCCAGTCGTTAAAGTGGCAAGAGCTCAAATTAGACACCTAACCATTATTTTAACAACCTAGTGGACGAAGTTTTTCTCCTTTTCACTGCATCATATTCTATGCAGCTTTGCATCTGCACCAGGACTGATGATCTATATTCATCTATTTATTGCCGAATTAGTGACAAATACCACAAGTTTTCTGACAGAACTCTTTCGCCAAAGGTTTGTACTGTTTGTCCTTGCAAAGCTTCTTGTCCTTGAACAAATCTAGGCAGTGTCCCTCACCGGAGGCGTCTTCGCATAGCTGAAACGATAGTATTGTACAATATCACAAGAATATGAATTGAATTCCACACTTGATGCTGTACACCCATTCGTTTGTAGTGTATACCTACCTTTGCCTCAGCTGTGAAGGCGCTGAGTAGGAGAAGAGCACAGAAAAGGTAGAGAGAAACATCCTTAACCCTGCTTCGATTATGGCACTCACTCAGCGATTGTCCCTATTATATGTGGCTTAAACAAGATAACCATAATTGTTGAAACAGGTGTATTGTCGTGTTTTCAGAACACGACGAAATAGGGGCGAAACATTCTACACATTTGGAGCCCTCCTTTATTGACTTGGCACGTGGATGCCACGGTGACGTCAATAGCTATTGCGACCATAGTGAATAACCCAGCCACCAACACTCGGCATTCAAGTTCCGCAATTGGAACGGTTTTCAATTGATTGAGAATGCAATGTAAAGGGGAATTGAATCCCAAAGGCACATTCAACCAGAGTACATTCAATTCAAGGTACCATTCCATGGTATTTCATCAATGATTCAATGTGCGGCCGTGCGATCAATAGGACGTGAAAGAACAGGAAAACCAAGAATTCTTTGTGGAATCTACACGTGCCAGCCAATGATGACTGCGGAAATGGAAATATTCTGCGACAGCGATCAGAAGCCTGCGCAGCTGGAAAGGTTGACAAATGCCGTAATGGCATACAAACGGGTCCTCAAAAGTGGGTGAACCAAATTGCAAAGCTTGCTGGTGTTCTTTCCTGAGCTCGTGAAAAGAATGCAGATTGATCGAAGAACCTCTAGCTATATTTCGCAACGTTCGCCATAATCATCGCCCACAATCTCGGCTGTATGCTTTTTATGTTGCTTGAACAGGAAATCGAGCAAAATGTCACAAGCAATATAAAAGGAGGCATCCCTAAGTGAATGCCATTACCCCAGTAAAAATCCAAAATGTTCCTCTATCTTTTCTGTGCTCTCCTCCTACTCAGCGCCTTCACAGCTGAGGCTAAGGTGGGTGTCCGCTAGGACATACACTAACAAACGAATGGGTGTACAGCCTCAAGTATAGAATTCAATTCATATTCTTGTAATATTGTACAATTCTTTCGTTTCAGCTATGCGAAGACGCCTCTGGTGAAGGACACTGCCTAGATTTGTTCAAGGACAAGAAGCTTTGCAAGGACAAACAGTACAAACCTTTGGCGAAAGAGTTCTGTCAGAAAACTTGTGGTATTTGTCACTGATTTGGGCAATCGCAAATAAATAGATCCGAATAAGCTTTGTGATCTGCTCATTTCTTCATAGAAATATAGTACTAAATTACAAAAACATGAATAGACCCCGCACATGATTGAACATTCTGATGGTCCAAGCGTCCCGTTCTACACTGATGTCGAACCAGAGTCAGCATCGGGCTATGGGGAGGGGCCTAACTTGAGTTGGCCCATGGTTTTTCGGTTCTTGTTAACAAGTTGAAACGGGTAAGCGGTCGCGAAAAAGGTGGTCTGCTTTGACGTTTTTGGTTCGAAATCTGACGAAATCTTCAAAAAGCAAGCGTCAAATAGGTGAAGTCAGAGGTTGCATCATTGGGCACATACATATTTACCTCTCACCGCTGTTCTGCTGGCCTCAGAATCAAATGCTACACTACGGATCAGTTCCTTTCGTGTGTAGGAGAGCCGAACAAAAGGTTAAGGCCGCTCGCGGCTTAAAAGTGAGCAACAAGGAGGCTGAGACCGTGGAATAGTCGTCGATCGCGTTTTCTTTTCGCTTGCAGCCTAGCGATTTACGCCGCGATAAGTCTTACTATTGTTAGTTGGTCGCAGGGTACGCTGCGTATTCCGACCATTTTTCTGCAGCACACAATTGACCATTTTTCTTGGCACACAATTTCTATACGGGGTGTTCTGAAATTAATTGCGCCGTTTAGGGTTTTGAGTGTGGGAACATCTCTACGGGTGCGTAATCAAGTACAGGCATGACCGAAAGGGTTCGTTTGGTCAACCAATCCCGACCTTTGCCTTTAGGGTTGGTTCCCTCCGAGAAAGTGGTGCGAACGCCTCAATAGGCCTGATCTAGACGACCAATTAAGCCAGAAATGGGAAAAATAAACCTCAGCCAAACACTGCAAATAGGTACTTGCTTCTCTAAAGTGGTAGAAGTTGATCACAAAACAGAGACAGACAGTCTTAGAGAATTATGTTTGCTATATTGAATTTTCAGCAATCATAACTTGTATATAGTAAACATTCTTCTTCTTCTTCTTCTCCCTAGCGTTAGTCCCGCGCAGTCGCAGGGTCCGCTGTTTTTGTCAGCCGTCGCCACTTTGCTCTGTCCAGGGCATCTTCCATCGTGGCCGCGACCTCACCTAGGTCCTTCTTGATTACGTCTTTCCACCTTTTCTTCGGGGCTCCTCGCGGTCGCTTGCCTTGTACTTCGAAGTCCATCGCTGTTCTTATCGGATGGTCCTGTGGCCTCCTTAGCACATGCCCATACCATCGCAGACGCTGTTCCCGTACCTTCAGCTGGACAGGGGCAGTCTGCATGACCGCTCTGACGTCCTCGTTTCTAACCTTGTCCAGCCGCGTCCAGCCGCAGGCCCATCTCAGCATCCTCATTTCGGCAGAGTGGAGCTGTCTTTCCTGATTCTTGTTCAAGGCCCAGCACTCGCTGCCGTAGAGCATCGCAGGCCTTACCACTGTCCGGTACACCTTTCCTTTGAGCGCTCTGGAGCACCTTCGATCGCAGAGGATTCCAGTGGACTCCCTCCATTTCATCCATGCAGCGTTGACCCGAGCCTTCACCGCCTGATCCACACTACCGTCGGCTGCCAGATCACTCCCAAGGTATCGGAAGTCCTCCACTCTTTCGATGGTCTCACCATGGCCGTCCACGATCGGCTCTGCACCCTCTTCGGAGCTCAGGAACTTGGTCTTCTTGACATTCAGCCGTAGCCCACCTTCTGTCAGGACTTTCTGCCATTTCTGCACCTTGGCTTGAAGTTCCTCTCTACTATCAGCTATCAAGGCGACGTCGTCAGCATAGAGGATAGTCTTCAGTGGTCCCTCCATGAGCCCCTTCACCAGGACATCTAGTGTTAGGAGGAAGAGGAACGGGCTCAGAGCTGACCCTTGGTGCACCCCAACCGTGATGTCCACTTCCTTCGTTAGGCCGTGTGGGGTGCGTATAGCTGCCTTCGCCCCATCGTACATATCCTTCACCAGCGAGACCAGGTGTTCTGGCACGTTCCGTTCCCTAAGCGCTCTCCATAGTACCGCTCGTGGTAGCCGGTCGAACGCCTTCTCCAGGTCGAGGAAGGCTAGGTAGCAGGGTCGGCGCTTTTCTCGATACTTCTCCATCACTTGCCTTGCGATGAAGATGGCATCCGTTGTAGACCTTTCGGGCATGAACCCGAACTGTTCCTGGGAGATCGGGACCAGCTCCCGCAGTTTCGAGTCGACCAGGCGCTCGTACAACTTCATGGTATGCGCAGTCAACTTGATGCCGCGGTAGTTGGAGCAGTCCATCGCGTCACCCTTCTGCTTGAAGATGGGGACGATAGTGCTTGTTCTCCAGGCATCCGGCATCCTTCCTTCGGCAGTCACCGTATTCAGGAAGCGGGTGAGCCACTTCACCCCGTGCTCTCCCAGGGCCTTCCAAGCCTCTATGGGTACTCCATCCGGACCAACTGCCTTTCCAACCTTCATCTTCCCAAGTGCGCGCCGAACCTCATCCTCTGTCCAGAGTGCGATGGGACCAGCTGTGGCCTCTACCCGTGAGTTGTTCTCGTCTCGTTCAGAAGACCTCTGAAGTATTCTTCCCACCTCCTCCGAACTTGGGCTGGCAGTATGGCGCCGTTGTTGCTCTTCACGCTCTTCACCACCCTGATATCTTGAGTAGCCCGATGCCGGGCTTTGGCCAGTCTGAAGACGAACTTCTCTGCGTTTCTGCTTTCCAACTTCTCGTACAAGGCGTCCATCTCCGTGTTCTTTGCCTTGGCTACGGCAGCCTTAGCGAGCCTCTTGCAACTCTTGTAGGCAGCGAGGTCCTTCGGGGCTCCGGGTCTTCTGCCAGCGCTTGTATGCTTCCTTCTTCTGCTTCACGACTCGCTGGACCTCCTCGTTCCAGAACCACGCTGCCTTGTCTCCTCTGAATCCACCTCGCGTCTCTCCCAGTACCTCCTTGGCGCATCGTAGGATGATCTCAGATCTCAGCTGCAGTGCCCCAAGCCTGCTGCACTGGTCCCTCAGGATCTGGGAGACCAACTTCCATTATCCTTCGCTTGAGGTCACTCTGCACGGTGCAACTTCCACCACCGGATTCTCCTCTCGGTTCTTACCTTTGTCTTCTTGGGGAGCTCCATGGCTATGTCTGCCAGGAGTGGCTTGTGCTGGGAAGCCAGCTCCTCGCCAGGGAGTACCTTGACGTCCTTCACAGTTCTGAGGGATGATCTTTTTACCAGCACATGGTCTATTTCCGTTTGTCGTCCTCCACTGCTGTAGGTGACCTTATGAGTCTCCCTTTTCGCGAAGAACGTGCTGCAGACTGCCAGATCGTGGGCCGTAGCCAGGTCCAGGACCCTCTCTCCCTCGGCGTTCCTCACTCCTATTCCTCTACCTCCGTGCACCCTTTCCAGGCCTCTTCTTTCACTGCCTACGTGACCATTCAGATCACCTGCTATGGTCAGGTAATCACCTTCCGGAATCGTTCTGATGGCATCGTCAAGGCTGGATAGAACTCGTCCTTCTCACTTTCGGGGCATCCGGCTTGCGGTGCGTACACGGAGAGTATGGTCCAGTACCCCTCCTTCGTGTCTATCCTCACAGCCATGATCCGATCGCTGATCCTGTTCACTGCGGAGACACGTAGTAGTAATTAGGCGATTACAGAATAGAGAGGTAACAATGGAAGGTGGTATCATCGAACTGAAGGCTACTGTGGACATGGTCCTTGAGCGACTCCGCTACCGCTATGGCCACACCGTTCCGCTTGGTGTCTTCCCCATTGTAGTAGAGTTTGACACCTTCCCCGATTTCCCTGGCCTTAGCACCTTTCCATCGCGTCTCCTGAAGGCATAGGACTTGGATATTCCTGCGCGTCATCAGATCAGCAACCTCTCGGGACTTCCAGTTAGCGATCCTACGTTCAGAGTCCCAATTCGAACTAGCTTCTTTGGCCGAGGCCGTTCACTCCTCGGTAGCCCTCGCATACTGACCACAGAACTCGGGCGGGGGTTCTGCGCGCCACTTCCGGGTGACGTCCTAGCATTAACACTGATTCTTTTGCGACTTTTAGACATAACAGTAAACATTGCGTGCTAAAAAAAATGATCGGATACGATAGAACATCACAAACCAACAACAGTAAGGCACATCGCTGCGTAAATCGCTAGATTGCAAGCAAAATAAAAGGCGATCGACGACTACCCCACGGCCTCAGCCCCTTGTTCCTTTTAAACCGCGAGGGACCTTAACATTTTGTTCGGCTCTCCTACACACGAAAGGAACTGTTCTGTAAAGAAGCATTCACTTCTGAGACCCGAACAGCGGTGAGGTAAATATATGTGTGTGCAATGATACAACCTCCGACTTCCCCTATGTTACGCTTGCTTTTTTGGGGATTTGCAATTACCAAAAATCATGCTCAATCATCGTTCCCATCCCCTCTGAAAACACAACCCCCGTTTGAAAGGCGCAGAACGAAGGGAAACAAAAACGCCATCAACGATTTCATCA